CACACACACACACACACACACACACACACACACACACACACACTCCCGCCCTGCATCCCCGTCCTACCCTTTAGGGGGGGGCGGTATTTGTATTTTCAGCACAATGAATACGCCTTTGTCCACTAAACATGTACACCATGATGTCTATTCCAAACGAGGACCTGTGCAATTGCTAAAAACAAAGGGCCATCCTGCTGTCTAGAGGCTCAGATGGCATCTGAGGTAGACACCAAAAAAAAAAAAAAAAAAAAGGCAATGAGCCTTCTGGAGGTCCCCCTGCTGCGGGAGGGAGCAGAGATGTCGAAGCTAACTCATCTTTGATGAGTCAGCTCCAGGTCAGACAGAATCAGGAGACAATACGGACAGAGTACAGTCTGTTCAAAAGCAGTGAGAAAAGCCCAGTGTGGCCCAGGAACTGCAAGTTATTAAAGAGGACGCCATAGTGTGTGTGTGTGTGTGTGTGTGTGTGTGTGTGTGTGTGTGTGTGTGTGTTTGCGCGCGCACGCGCGCGCAGAGGGTGAGTGACAGTTGCAGTTTAGTCACTGACACTGGATTAAGACATTATTTACAGGACAGATTTTCTGTCCTGATAACCCCATCAGTAAACTTTTGTGTTCTTTGGGGTTTTTTTTGTTCTCTCTCTCTCTCTCTCTCTCTCTCTCTCTCTCTCTCTCTCTCTCTCTCTCTCCCCCTCTCTCTGAGTATTTTCTATCTATAGTGGAACAATCTGCTAATGCCTGTCTGGCTGTTTACGGAGAGGGAGAGACAGTTTTAAATCCGAAGAATGCAGGGGTGGGGGTCTCCTCACCAGTCTGAGGCAACCGTTCTCAAGTTTCTGGTTGCATCAGAGTCAGCTCTGGCTTTGGGTTTGGTTTTGGTGCTGAAGCGGGAACACAGGGCCTCCTCACACATGCTACAACTCCAACTTTCTTTTGTACTCTCTTCTGAGACAGGGACTCCCTCCATTTTCCAGACAAGCCTTGAATTTGTGAACCTCCTTCCTCGACTTCCTGAGGAGCTAGAATTACAGGCCTGTACCCGGACCCGGTGCGGGGGAGGGGGGAGGGGGGCTATAAACAAAGAGCAGTTTGCTGGTCCTCACGCCTCACCCCAGCCTAAGTCTGCGGGGCTGAAGTGAGTCCCCTAGATTTGCATTTTTAACAAGTTCCAGCTGCTGCTGCTGCTGCTGCTGCTGCTGTTGCTGCTGCTGCTGCTGCTGCTGCTGCTACCCTGGGACCTCCCTCACCACACAAGTGGCCCTGAAGAACAAAGACAAGCTTTGTGGGCTCTGGTCACAGAGGTCAGGGACCCCACACAGAGCAGAGCCCAGGAAACTGGTATGATCTGCTCCCCAGGACCCCATGGGGTGGACACGGGAGGAACAGAATGAGCTGCCACCGCCGCCTGTCTATCACAGGCTACATAAAGATCCCGCCCCCACCCCAGTTCAGCCTTTCTGGTTTGAATTTGCTCACCCTGAGCAGGTTTTCCCTGGAGTTGGCTGGTCAAAGTCCAGCTTTATAAACTAACAACCCACCGTGTGAGAGAGGATCCCCCCCACCCCCACCCCTACTCCCACCCCCACCCCCAGCTGCAAGGCGGAAGCCCTGGGAGCTGACGCACAAATACAAATACTCTGAGCTCACTGGGGCTGCCAGGCTCACATCGACCAGCAATTATTTCTTGTAAATTGCTTTCCGGGTTATGTTCAGAACATGTACGTGTGACTCCCTGAGAACAAACACTCAGGGGACGCAGGGCCGGGAGTAGCTAGCTGGGAGTGGGCTGTCTATGAAGGGGGGCCTTAGTCTTCATCTTCAGCCACAGTGCAGAGAATGTTGAATGTTGGAACTTAGACACACTAGAATCTTCCACTCCCCTTTTATAGGGAGGTGGTGGTCCAGCCTCTCTGTCCAAACATCCACTTCTCTCCATTCAACACTGGCCGACGACCATTCTTTGCCAGACTCGAGGAGGTCCACAGTCTGTCTTAAAGAAGCTGGGAGTGCCTGGCATGGTAGCACACGCCTTTAATCCCAGCACTCGGGAGGCAGAGGCAGGTGGATCTCTGAGTTGGAGGCCAGCCTGGTCTACGGAGCGAGTTCCAGGACAGCCAGGGCTGTTACACAGAGAAAGCCAGTTTTGGAAAAAAAAAAAAAAAAAAAAGGAAAGAAGCTGGTAGCCAGGCTGGAGAGATGGCTAAGCCGTTATGAACACTGCTCTTTCAGAGGACACAGGTTCCCAGCCCCCACCTGACAGCTCTCACAACTGTCTATAACCCCAGTCTCAGGGGATCCAATGCCCTCAGACATACATTTGGTGCACAGGTACACAATCAGGC